ACAACAACAACAAGAGAAATGAGTTGATTACGATTTCCATCTTTTTCTGGAGAAGTAAAAGTACTCCACATAGTACAAACTTAAAGAAAGTACCTCATATGAGAAAAGTATTTCAATAAGGTGCCTTATGAAAATGACATAACCTTGCTAGTAGAAAGTGAAGAGGACTTGAAACACTTGATGCAGAAGGTGAGGGACTACAGCCTTCAATATGGTTTACATCTCTACATCAAGAAAACAAAAATCCTCACCACTGGAACAATAGGCAACATCATAATAGATGGAGAAAAGATTGAAATTGTCAATTACTTCAGTTTAACTTGGATCCATAGTCAACATGTATGGTTACAGCAGTCAAGAACATGAAGATGTGCTACGTTGGGAAAATTTACTTTCAAGGACCTTTTCTAAAGTGCTAAAGAGCAAGGATGTCAAATGTTATCTAAGCCATGTTATTTTTTCAGTTTTTGTCTCCAAAAGTTGGACAATGAATAAAGATGATAGAAGAAATCTGTACTTTTGAATTGTGGTATTAAGGAAGAGTTCTGAATATCACAGGAACTGTCAAAAGAACAAACACGTTGGTCTTAGAGGAAATACAACCAATGTGCTCTTTAGAAGCAAGGATGGTGAAACTTTGTTTCACATACTTTGCTAATATTGTGAGGAGATTTGCCTTGTTGTTGTTATGTGCCATTGAGTCGCTTAGAACTCATAGTGACCCTATGTACAACAGCCCTAAACTCTGCTCTGCCCTGTGCCAATCACACTGTCTCCAACACACCCATCCCGATTACCCCAGTCACTGAATCAATCCACCTCACAGAACGCCTTCCCCTCCTGTGCTGTTCCTCCACCGTCCCAAGCATGATGTACCTCTCCAAGGACTGGTCCCTCAGAACATGTCCAAACTTCAGACAAAGCTTCAGAGTCCTTACCTCCAAGGAGTAGCCCAGTTTAACCCTCTCCAGGATGAGTCTGTTTGTTTTCCTAGCAGCCCATGGAACCCTCAATACTCTTCTCCAGCACCACAGCTCAAAGGCATCAATTCTCCTTTTATCCTCCTTAGTCATCCAACTCTCTATACAAGTGGTATAGCAAAGACCATGGCCTGTATCAGACACACCTTAGTCTCCAGAGAGACTCCATTGCTCTTCAGAACTTTGGAAAGGTCCCTAACAGCAGACTTTCCCATCGCAATACGTCTTTTAATTTCCTGGCTAGTGGTGCCAAGAGTGTTGACAGTAGGGCCAAGCAAACTAAAGGTGTGAACAATCTCAGTCTCTTCACCATCCATCTTGATGCTGCCAGTTGGTCCAGTGGTGAGAATCTTTGTCTTCTTGACATTGAGCCTCAATCCATATTGAAGGCTGCAGTCCTTAGGAAAAAATATATTATTCTGGGGAAAGTGGAATGCAGAGAAAGAGAGGAAGACCCTCAGAAAGATGGATTGGCACAATGACTATTAAGAATGGACTAGAGCTAGTCTATAGGCCTTTTATTGTAAGAACCACCTTCCCTCTGTAACTTGATTTGCACCACTACTAGAACCTCTACTCGGAATATTATTGCTTGTTAATTTTTGACTCATGTACTTTTAACTTGTTAGTTAAATTTGTGTCTTCTAGGTTGCAATACCTCCATGATACATCTTCAAGGATATGAACATGTACGGCTAAGCACAATTAATAACAGTGCATCTAAATTCCAAAATCAATCTCCATAATAGTCTATGTGTTTCCTACTGCCAAAGGGGCCCTTTAGAGTAGTGAGAGAAGATCTTCACCCTGAAACCCACAGCGTCCCTTTTCAGCAAGAAGTAGCTAAGAGAATATGCCATCCCCTTTTCCTTATGAATCAGGGTGAAGTCTCTCTCAGGGAGGAGTGATAGGGAATGGCAAAAGACACACTGACAAAGAAGATTAATCAGAACTGGCTTTGACAAGCACTGTGGCAATTGGACAATTAAAACAGACATTCGGGGTGGGGGAGAAAGAATGAACTGGGGAGGAGGGTAGAGAAAACAGTGCAACAATGAATGAATGAATGAATGAGAACCCAAAATCTCTGTAAATGTTCATTAAAACTAATAAAATTTAATAATAATTAAAAAAAAAAAGAATGGACTAGAGAATATCAGAGAGGTGAGGATGGTACAGGGTAGGACAGGATTCAGATGTATTGTTTATAAGGTTGCTATGATTCAACATTGACTCAAGGGCACCAAACAACATTTCATTAGAGACTTGCATGAATCGATGCTAAAAAGAACACATTTATAAAACTATGGTATTTCAGAGAAAAATAACTATTTACAGATTAGTTGCAGAATACAATTCATTGCTGCCTTTAAACTGAGAAACTGACCGTATATCCTCTAGTTCATTATAAAACATACCTCCATTTACTTGGAATTTTCTTTATTTTAAATTTACCATAGCATTTATAGTAATATTACTTGATTGGTTTTATCCTTTTGTAAAATGCATGTGTACTGAAGAATATGATTTATTTAGAATTTTTTAAAGTCTTATATAAGCACCAAAGGTGAATTAATTGCTTTATATGGGCAATATGAAGACCTCAAATGTTACTCGGGGTAAGAAAGAAATGCATTAAGACGTAACTGACAGTTTCTCTTTGTGAACTATAAATATATCTTTGGTTGGTCTTTTTGTTTGTTTCGGTTGGCATGTTTTTTTGAAGAGTAAGAAAAACCTGTGGCATGCATAACATAATTATACTTCTAATTTTGTACCATTGTGTTGTAATCGACTGGCAGCTGACCCTTCTATAGGTTTTCAGAGGCAGTTAATCCTACAGGAGAAGATTGCCTGTCTTCTTCTGTGTAGCATCTGGTGGATTAACACCATGTTCCTTTGGACTCCTTACCACTAGGCCACCAGAGCTCCCTTACTTGTATTAGATATAGATCATGCATGCCTAAGTCTATTACTGTGCCATCAATGGCTATAATAATTAGTTAATAGGTGGGGAAATAAAATGTCATTACATACTGTTCAAAAAGACTAGAAAAGGAATTGCGTTTACTGACAGAGGCTTTCTTTATTCCTGAGCAAACAAGGTTTTATCTGCTGGCATTTACTGCCATCATAGTTTAAGGGTTCTGTAAGTGGAATCTGAACAGCCATTTAGTAATCATTAGTCCAGGTTCTTTAGTGAGGTCATGAGGGCCGTGTCCTGGTTATCTGTTATGATCTGGTAGGAGTAGGATGATACAAGGTGGGGTAGGATTTATAAGTAACCTTGTCGGACAAAGTAGGCCTGCCTCATGAAGTTTTCAAGGCTGTATTTCTGGAGCTTTACTACCATATCTATTTATTGTAAAATCTTGACTCATTGACCTTCCAGTTAGCAGGCAAGTGCTTAACATCACTGTACTAACATTGATTTTACTCTTACTTTGTTGTTGTGTAGAATTGGAACCAACTCATAGCTTCAACAGGTTTTCAGAGGCAATAAATCACATGGAAGGAGATTTTCCATCTTTCTTCCTCAGAGCAGGTGGTGGATTCAAACCATGTGTCGTGTTTGGGTTGGCAGTTGGTGCTAAGCAAAATCAAAGTCCTGCAAGTGTTACTTGATAATTTTGCCCATTTTACTTTAGGCACTTACTGTTTAAATATCAACACATAGTTCTCACATATTACTAGGGAAAATTAATTTTTCTTCTATTCTCATTATTGATCTTTCATGAAGGGCTGAGCTTCTTTCAAGGGATTGTAGGAAAGTTTTAATTCTTTACAGAACTTTCTGTGCTTGGGATGCAGAAATCATGACTTTACTGAACATGGTCCGCAACCACTGGGTTCATGTGCTCGTTCCTGTAGGATTTTTGATTGGATATTATCTAGACAAAAGGAACAACAAAAAACTAACTGCCTTCCGGAACAAGAGTATGTTATGTAAAAGAGAATTGAGAGACAATGAAGAAGTCACTTGGAATTAAAGGCTGTGGCTGAATTCTAAAATGTTTCTTAAATTGTGAGAAAAATAAATTACTTTTATTATCTGAAGTGTGACTCTTTTTACACTAAGGTAAGTTTTTAAAAATTTCCATCAAGGGGGATCTCTGGTGGCCTAGTGGCAAGAAGCTGCACTGTAATCCTGAAGGCGCACAGTTCTAATCCACCAGATGCTTCGCTGGAGACAGAGGGACAATCTCCTCTTGTGCCAGTCAGACAGATCTGAGTCGACACAAGAAAAAATAAAGAAAAGGAAAAAAAACATTAAAATAAAAATAAAGATTAATAAAAAATCCAATGTATACTGCATTGAAACAGATGAGGGAGAGAACTGTTTAAAAAGGATATAGGATTGGGTATTCTTGTCATGACAGGAGTTCCAGAATGAAGGCTGCACAGTGGAGTGGACTTGGGGGGAGGGACTGTATAACTGAAAGGATTTTTCTTTCACTTTTCAAAGAGAAGAGCATATGGGGGGGAAGGGGTAGGCAGGAAGAAAAATGCAATAATGAATGAATGGAAATCCGAAGTTTCTGTAAACATTCATTAAAATTAATAATAAAAATTTTAGATAGAAAAAAGAAGTCCTGGTAGCACAATGATTAAGTACTTGGCTGCTTAAAAATATTAGCAATTCATACTCATCAATTTAAAGTTTTGACAGTCGGCTTGAATAAATATTTATGGCCTTGGAAACCTTGGAAACTGTCCTTGAGGGTCACTGTAAGTTGAAATAGATTGCACTACAATAGATTTGATTCTTTTGGTAATTTTTAAACATACCAATAAATAGCCTTGTGTTATTAAAACAGCTGGGGAAACTCTTCTGTTTATTAGGAGCTGAACACTGAAACCTTGGGTACCTGCATAGATTTCCAGGTTGTGCCAGGCTGCGGTATAAGCTGTAAAGTTACCAACATTGAAGGTTTACTGTATAAGGCTAACTGGGAGACAGAAGAAAATAATATTGAAAATACATCCCTGATTCAAATTGATGCATGTAATGAACAGTCACCAACTTCATCTTCATTGATTGCCCAACTCTCAAGTAAGCTGATTTCCATTTGTAGTACATATTATGGGAAATTTATGGATAGATTGCTAACTTTATAACCCTGAACATGTGAAAGAAAACTTTACATCATCATTTTATTCTTGTAAATAAATTATATAATAGACCTTTGCTGCTTTACTCAAGTTACTAAAAATGATTTCATAACTGTATTCATAGATTCCACTACAGTGTGATGAGATTGAGCCTTTATGTGATCTATTTAAAAATTTCTATTTTATGGCAGTTTACATACAAAATTAATATACATTGTATTTCACACTCTCCTTCTTTCACATTATGTTTTATATAGTCATTCTCACTCATTGTGTTTTATAAAATTAATCGACATTGAACTGTGTTCATCATTACCCCATCTTTTCAGATCCTGCTGGATCTTTCCCATTTCCTTTATCCCCTCCCTCCACCCACCAAATTGTGAGACCCTATTATCCCCCCCATCCTCATCCCTCTGCTCCCACCTTTTACCTCCTTGGATCCCCATACATGTTTTACTAGTTAGCCTTCTATGTGATCTCTTTTTATTAAGTAATCCTGTTTCACAACTACTCCAAACCTTTTACTTTTACAATTTTTTTAATTTTTTTAAATTTATTTTTTGTGTGTGTGTGTGTGTGTGTGTGTGTGTGTGTGTGTGTACCGTCAAATCAGATCTGACTGGTACAGGAGGAGATTGCTCCTCCTTCTCCAGCAAAGCTTCTGATGGATATGAACCACACTCCTCTGGGACTGCAGTGCAGCTTCTTGCCACTAGGCCACCAGAGCTCGCCTACTTTTACAAATCTTAAAAGATCTTATGACTCTCTCCCTAGTTCTCTTAACAAATTATCTTGTATTTTTATATAGAAAATTAGTTTTGCAGATATTTATTATTTCAGGTTTTGGTTTTTTTCCCCCCCAATAGTATATTTCATTCAAGGAAAGTATCTTGCATCATGAATCTCTTCATTTTTGCTAGAAATTTCTTTTTTTCTTAACACCTCAAAGACTTTATTTTCTCAGTTCTGCCCCCTTTCTATTATTTTTCTTTATTTTATTGTGTTAAAATGCATATAACATAAAATTTAGCATTTCAATCATTAAATACATTAAAATTCTAGGTAGTCATCACAATTATTCAGACATTTGTGTCAGCCCCTGGTGACATATAGTCCACTTTCTATTTCTAGGAATATGCCAATTTTAGATACTTTATATAAGTAAGATTATGCACTATTTGTCTTTTTGTGTGTCAGGCTTATTTCATTTAGCACAATTGTAATAAGTATCAGAATTTCATTCCTTGTATGCTTAAATAATATTTTTTCATATGTATCACATAAAGGAGCTCTGGTGGCCTAGTGGTAAGGAGCTGCACTGCCATCCCAAAGGCACATGGTTTTAATCCACCAGCTGCTGCACAGGATCCGTTCTTCTGTTGATAGGCATTTTTATTGTTTCTACCTTTTAACTTTTAACTATAGCAGTGAATATTACTGCAGTGAACATTGATATAAAAGAATCTATTTGGGTCTCTGCTTTCAAGTCTTTGGGGTAAATGCCTAGCTGTGGATTTGCTGCTTCATATGATCATTCTTTGTTTAACATTTTGAGAAACTGTCAGACTATTTTCCACATGGCTAAAACATTTTATATTCCCTCCAGCAATGGATGAGGATTCTGATATCTTCATATCTTTACAAACATTTTTCCCTTCCTTTTTATTATAGCCATCCTAGTAGAAATGAAGTGGTATCACATTGTTGTTTTGATTGCTATCTCTTCAATAGTTAAAATCTTGTGCATTTCTTCAGGTGCTTGTTGGCCATCTCAGTATACTCTTTGGTTAAGAGGGTGGTTTTTGTTGTTTTTTTTCATATTTTCTGCCCATTTTGTAATTGGGTTGTTAGACTTTTTCTTGTTGAGAGTCTGGAGTATTCTATAAATTTTTTTATATGTGTTGGACAAGTCATTGCTCATTATTTTTTCTCACTTTAGGGGCTTTCTTGTCATGCTTTTGGAGACATTTGCTGATGCATACAAGGATTTTTTTTATTATCTGTTGCAAAAAGCTTTATTGTTTCATTTGGTCCAAGGCTTGGGCGAGAGGTTTCTGGGTGGATAGGATTCTACATCATAGTGGGATAGAGAAGCTTGCTGCTGATGGCAGGGGGACCAGAGGTCTCCCCTGCAGGTCCCCGCAGGCCCATAGTCGTGCTTAAGAATGAGACACTTAAAGAGATACTCGCCCAGCCCAGCCTGGGGGCCTCCCAGTCTTCTAATGTTGGTCACCCATCTTCTTCAACAGTGTCACTTCCTCATCTTGGAAGTGGTTCTCCAGAAAGTCACAGAGATGAGTGTGGGCAGAACCCACGGGGTGCAGATCCAGAAGGGCCTGGTTTAGGTTCTTCTCCAAGGCCAGCGCTGCTTGCATGGCGTCCAGGGTTTTACCCCATTCATCCTGGGATGGCTTCTGGATATCTTGGAAGAGGACATGGCTGTTGCGCTGGTGTTGCAGCTTCAAGAGCCTCTCAGCACCCTCGCACTTTTCCTTCGCCACCTCGCGAAAGAAGTGTCCCACACCTTCCAAGGCCACATCATTGTGGTCAAAATAAAAACTCAGAGAGAGGTAGGTGTAAGAGGCCTGCAGGTGCAGGTTGACGCTGGCTTCTGCTTCGGCGGAATAATTTTGATGGATCTGAGAGCTCATAATTGGTCGAGGTTTGGGGGCTAACAAAAAAAAAAACACCACACAACAAAACGGTGTTAGCTGGTCCCGAAAATAGGAGATGGTTAAGATGGTCCCGAGGTTATGCCTGGAGATGAAGATGGAGGGTAGTTGGAGGCTGGAAGGGGGAAGTCGCCGAGTCTGTTCTATCCAAACACTGTTGAAGCAAGAGACAGATCCACGGGACTGCTGAGGAACTGGATTTTCTTTTTAGAAGGTTCAATTAATCTATTTTATCCTTTTCTGATTGTGCATTTTTTTACTATGTTTGAAAGTCTATTCATGTGGTAGACTTTAACTTTTAAATTTGTTCTTTTTCCCCCCTCCATTGATTTTTATAGGTTTTAGGTTTACCCCTAGAATATCATTGTTTTGATTATTGTCAACTTATAATAAGTTTTGAAATTGGAAGTATGACCCCTTCTACTTTGTTCTTCTTTTCAAAATTGTTTTCTCTATTTGTCACCCTTCACCATTTATGTGGATTTGAGAGTCACTTTTTATATTTTTTTAAAAAAAAATTCTGACGAAGTTTTAACTGAAATTGCCTTGACTCTTTAGGTAGTATCAACTACTTAATAATAGTAATTCTTCCAAAGCCTGTTTATCAGTGGTACATGGAATGTCTTTCTATTTATTTAGGTAGTTTTCCATTTCTTTCATAGAATATTTTTTTATTGATTTGTATACAATCATTCATATACATTGATTTTGGTAGAATTGTTGTTTTCCACAATGTTTTGTCTTCCTATCCATGAGCAGGGGGTAGTTTTCCCTTTAGTTAGGTCCCTTATTGTTTCTTGTAGTAATGTTTTATAGTTTTCCTTATAAAGGTCTTTTTTGTCTCTAGCTAGATTTATTCCTAAGTATTTCATCTTGTGCTTGGCTATTGTACATGGCATTGTTTTTCTGGTTTCCTTTTCCCCACTTTCTTTGTTATTGTAGAGAATCCAACTGATTTTTATATGTTGATCTTATATCCTGCCACTCTATTAAATTTGTCTTCTACTATGTCTAACAGGGAGTTATTTTGTGGAGTCTTCGGGTTTTTTTCTGTGTACAGTATCTGCATATAGTGACAGTTTCTCATTGAAGGTCTCCTATCTGCTAATTCTCCGTTCCATCTCTTCTATTCTGTTGTGTGTGTGTGTGTGTGTGTGTGTGTGTGTGTGTGTGCACACTTCCAACATGTTGAGAATTTCCGCCATTTCAGTCTTGATAGTTCCGATTGCATTTCCATGCTTTTTTGTTGTTTCTGGTACTGTGTTAGTTGTACCCTTTCTGACTTGTGATATTTTCCATTTCTTGTTGTTCTTTACTTAAAGTTTCACCTCTTACTTCCAACATTTGTAATTTTTTCATTACCAGTTCTTGAAACTCCATGTTGGCATATTTCTTCTGCCTTCCTGTCTCTGATGTATTCATTAGGTACTAATTAATCAGGTCTGCTATTTTAGGAGAACGCTAGCTGCTCTGAGGGGAAAAAGTGAACAATCTCCTCTTATACAATTTACAGCGTCTGAAAACCCTCTAGAGGGTCAGCTGTGAGTTGGTTCTGACTCAACAGTAATGAATGACAATATGCTGGTGTACATATTTTGTACATAGTATGCTTTAAAAAATACTTGTTATCAATTTTTTACTTATTTTTAAAAAATATTTTATATTTGTGTGCATACAAAAATTATATATATTATGTTTTACACAATCCTTCACTCACACTGTGTTTTATACAATCATTCCCCTTATGGCTCAGAATTGTTGCCTGACATCTATTGCACAGTCCATGGGAGTATTTGCCCATGAGTAGAACAGAAGCCCAGCTGTGGTTTACTCTGGTATACTCCTCCAATAACTGAAGCCACTGGAGTAAGTCGTGTGTTATGTGTGAATATAACTTATTATACACATGAACCCCACAGTCATTTGTTACACAGTGTGACAGGTGGCTGCTGAGCTAACCAAGTGGGCATAGTACAACAGTGGAGTCTTCTCTATTTGATGAAGCCAGGTCACTTAGAAGGTGTGTTGGGGAAAGGAGATAAAAAATTCATTCTCCACTCACTGTTTACTGGCTGGTACAGCTAGTTACTTAGTTCATGATTAAATCAAAGTAAGGGCATTGTCCAGATTCTAGTATCTCCAAGCAGTACACCCCAAGCTTTCCTTATAGTGTAGACCTTTAATTCAGAGTATTGGAGCTCTTTACTAGCAAGTTATTCTGTTTTCTTTTTGTTAATTATGCCCTCCTTTGTCTGCAGTTGCCCATGCCTCAAGATTTGTCATCTGCTTTGCTTCACTGTCCACTCCCAGCTCATATTCTGCCCACTTTATTTTATTCTGTATATATCCACCCTGGTTTTTTTGTCTCAATGGGGATTCCATGAAGGGGGGGGGGTTTGCCCACATATATTTCCTTCTGGATCTTAAGATAGCTGGAAACCATGTGGAGAACCACTTTTTCTCACTCCTCAGCTATCACTACCATTCTGTCTCCCTTTCTGATTTGCATTTAATCAATTTCTTTTTATATTCTCATTTGATGCTCAGACTTCTAGGGTTATCATCTGTATGCATTTCACTTGATTTTTCACATCTCTGTTCTAGAGGGATTGGGTGGAACATGTCATCAGAATGCCATTTGTCTACTTCCTTTACATATTTTTGTGTCCAGCCATATTCAGTTACTAACACATAAGAAATATTTTTAATTTAATTTAATTGTTCTATAAGGTCAAAGAGAAACTAAGAAAGCAACATTTAAACTAGCTCTTAAGGAATATGATGGAATATATTATTTGAAGCGGTTAGGTGAGTGTATTCTGGATGGAGGCAGAAATGTGTACAAAGATCCTTGGTCAAGAAAGAACAGAGAATATTCCTAGAAAATTTGAAAATAACTGCTGTAGGCTCTAGTCTCAGAAAAATATAATGTAGTAGCCTTGCATGGTTAGATAGGAAGAACTTGTAGCATGGAGTTGTTAAAAAGATTACATGAACTCACTAAGCATTCTGTATTTTATTTCAGATGCTCGTAATGTTCAGCAGTACAAAGTACTCATTGGTAACCGTGAATGGATGATTAGAAATGGTATCATCATTAGTAATGAAATAGATGAATTCATGACTGAACATGAAAGAAAAGGTCGGACTGCAATATTGGTGGCAGTGGATGGTAAGTTTTTTTCATAAGTATGCTGGCTCAATGTCATTATTCCAGATATTGTAAAGTCTCTGTAAGTATGTTTACTCCATGTTTTCATCATAGTTATTATTTTACGTACATTTTTGATAGTTTTATGAATGATGAGGGCTATTTAAGAACGACTTAAATACAAAGTGAAAGTATTTGCAATGTATAACTGTTAATGATTAAAGATTCTCTTAATTTTCCTGCCTTATTATTTTACACCCTAGCCAGAATTTAAAGAAAAATAGTTTGAGGTAAAAATATCTGTATTCACAAGATTGCATGACCTTCCATATAGAAAATCCCAGAGAATCTACTAAAATGCTTCTACAACTATAGAAGAATATTGCAGTGTTGCAGGATACAAGGTTAACACACAGAAATCAATTGGGTTACTGTATACCTCTCTCTTATTTCCATTAGTTGGAACCAACTCATAGCTGCCTTTCCAGTTGGTTTTCAAAGGCTTTAAATATTATGGGAGGAGTTTGCCCGTCTTTCTTCCACAGAGCAGCTGGTGGATTTGAATGTCTTTGAGTTGGCAGCACAACGCCTTACCAACTAGCCACCAGAACTCCCTTATTTTACAGTAACAATGATAAATCTGAAAAGGAGATTAAGGAAAGAACTCCATTTACAGTGTCTAAGAGAATAAACTAACAAAACATGATTGTCCAGTCAGAACTGACTTATAGCTGACATTCCTTGGAATTCGGATACTGTGAGGAGACTGGCCATCTTTCTTTCTTGGAGGACTGAAACCTACAGGGAAATACGACATTTGGGTTAGCAGTGCAATTCTCTGCAAACTCCACCACCAGAGCTCCTTTAAAAGAATAAGAGCATTTTGCTGAGTGAACTAATAATGTCTTATAGGGACAAATACTGTGTTAAGACCATTATTGTAAAAATAGAAAGATAACTAGTTAAACATGTATGGGAGCTCAAGGGGGAGGGAGAACACAGAGGGAAGAGGATAGGTGGTGGTGAAACCACAGGGCTACACAATTTGGTGAGGGGAGAGGGGGAAACAAATGGGAAGGATCTGGGCAAACAGACAGGGCAATGATGGGCATAATGTAGGTTGCTGATGAGTCTTCTGATTTGATGCCACATTCCTCTTAATAGAGTTTAGCTTCTTGAATTATTTGATCAGCATACAGTTTGAATAGTTGTGGAGAAATGATGCAGTCCTCTCACACACCTTTCTTAATTTTAAACTGTGCAGTGCTTCCTTGCTTGGTTTAGGTATAAGTTTGGTTTTATATACCTCTTGGTCTAGGTATAAGTTTCACATGATTTTGCATAGGCACATATTAAGTTGGGCAAAGGCAAAGTAGAAAAAAAGAGAGAATCCATTAAGAAAATATACAAGAGACATTAACAGACATAAAAGAAGATAATCAAATGGCCAACAAACTCATAAAAATATTCAGTGTTATTAGCTGTCAGAGAAAGACAAATCAAAATTCTAATGAGAAACAAAAAAGTTTTCACATAACAAGTGTGAGAAAATTGTAATGCTTATTTATTGCTGGTGAGAGTGTTAAAACAGTCTGATACTTCCTCAAAAAGCTAGAGGTAGAGCTACCATATGACTCAGAAATTCTACTCCTATATATATATACCCTTAGGTTCAAATACAAGTAACAAGAACTGTTGTAAGTGCTCCTGTATCCATTGTATCATAGTTCAGAAGAGCAAAAAAGAAAATAGCCTAAATGCTCATCTGTGAATAAATAGAGAAGGATTAAATGTGGTACATGCATACAATAGAATAGTATTCAGTAATGAAAATGAGTTCTTAAAACATTTAGCAATGTGAATTATTCTGGAGGGCCTTATATTCTGCAAAATAACTCAATCTCTGTGACTCTGTGATTTCCCCCCTTCAATTCCCCTACCTCCTCCCTTTTCCTCTTTGGACTTTTGTACACATCTTACATCCTTCTGTTTTTATACTAATGGTCTTCTGCAATATTTGTCCTTATGTGACTGAGTTAATTCATTCGCCATAATGTTACATAGTATTTTTCAAAATCCTGCTCCTGAGTGCTGCATAGTATTCTGTCGTGTGAATGTACCACAATTTTTCAATCCATTTGTCTCTTAGAGGACATTTGAGTTGTTTCTGTTTTCTTGCTATTGTGAGTAGCACTGCTATGAACACCAGTGTACAAATCTTTATTGTATCTCAGTTCTATTTTTCTCGGGGTATATTGCTAGCAGTGGAATAGCTGGGTGATATGAAAAGTCTATGTTCAATTTTTTTAGAAAATGCCAAACTGCCTTCCAGAATGGTTGTATCTTTTTTCAGTCCCACTAACAGTGTATAAGAGTTCCAATCTCTCCACGTCCTTGCCAACATTTGTTTCTTCCTGTCCTGTTAAGCTTTGCCACTGCTACTGGGGTCATATGTGGTTTTGATTTGGATCTTTCTTTTTTTTTTTTTAATTTGGATCTCTCTTATTACCAGTGATGCTGAGCATTTTTCATGTGTCTGTTGGTCATCCAAATATCTTCCTCTGTGAAAGGTCTTTCCATGTCTTTTGGCTATTTTGTAAATGAGTTATCAGTCTTTTTTCTTGTAGCAAAGTTTGGTGAATGGAGGGAGAGGATGAAGAAAGTAGGAAAGATACAGTGGGATATGAAAAGACAGGGTGATAATGGGCACAGATCAATGGTGATTTGGTTTTATAAAATGAAATGTGTGGGAATGACCATATGAAACACAATGTGAATGAAGAAATGTGTGAAATACAATGTATATGACTGAAACACAATGTATATGAATTTTATATGCAACCAATATAAAATAAGAATCTATCTTTAAAAAATAAGTCAATCACAAAAAAGATAAATACTATAAGTTTTCACTTTTACGAAATGAAATTAATAGGTGAGTGAGATAAAATATGCAAACATTAATACTCATGGATTATTATTAGATGCCCAGGGTTTGAGGGGAAAAGAGACATACTTTATTTTTTATTTTATTGGGAAAAACATATTGGGGGTACAAGGAGGTGAGGGTTGGGGGCAGAAGGGTGAGGATGGGCCAGGATGTAGCTGCAGAGCTGCACAGTTTGGTCAGTGGGGGGAGCAGGTGAAGGAAATGATGAGGGTCCAGTGGGGACCAGATGCTATAGAGGAATGACAAGCATTTTCCAGTGGTAATTAAACCATCTGTCTTGTTGATTTGGGAATTAGATGCTGACTCTCTGGCTTCTTCATGCTGAACAGGGGCGTAGATGTAAAGGAGTGAAGGGAGGATGCTTTATCTCCTTACTGGTGGTCTTGGGTAAAGCTGCTTGCCTTCTTGCTCTGTTAGAAGATATTTTCCTGTCATTTGCTCCCCTCTGGACTGCAAAGTGTTTTCCCAGTGGGGATGGCTGGTTGAACCCAGAGGCTCCATCTGCCTTTGCTTCCTTAGCTGTCAGTTGTATTTCCTTTTTGTCACTGGCACCGGGTTCAGGGTCAATTCTGGAGTAAAACTCAGAGTTAAGGTTACCTATAGGAAAGGGAGCAAACCTAGAGAGAACAAACTTATGAGTTACAAATAGAAGGGCTTTGAGGGTGTTGCTTTCAGGTTTACTGGGGGGGGGAGGGTGGCAGAAGGTGGCCTAGGTAACATTCTCTGGATACCCTAGGCGTCCTTTTTTCCCCCCCCTTCCCCACCCAGGGGTCAGATGGCACAATCTGGGGACTGAGGAGCTCACCCTGAGGGCCGTGACGGCTCACCCCGAGCCGAGGGCTGAGGGCAGCCCACCCCGGGCAGAGGGCCTCGACAGCTTCCTCTGAGCCGGGGGCCGAGGGCAGCCCATCCCAAGCAGGGCAACACCCCCCAGGAGCTGGCTGGTATACTCCCCCTCCAATTGCCCCTACCCCAGACTGGTCCCCTTGCCTGACTGAAGACTCTGTGGTCAGGGATAGTGTCTCCCATTCCAGCACTGCCACTTTTAACCCTCCCATAAGTGGTCATACTATATTTTGAAGTAGGTGTCACTGCCCTCCCCCTTTATATATGATAAAGGGAACCTGAGAATTGTGAACAGACTCCCCCCAGGTCTAACCATCTTTTGGCAGAAGCACTCAACAGAACAAAATATGTGGAGCATTTAGGATTTCGGTCCTCTTGTGCATGCTGCCACTGTTAAGGTCATCAGACTCACAGTGACTTTCAGCAATCCATTGTATAGGTAATCGTCTTCTCTCGCCTGTCCAAGAAAACCCAAATCAGCAGATGGCGGGCATGCATCCCATCCCCCACCTCCTACGCAGGCGGCCAGCGGGGCGTGCGCCCCCCCAGTGTGGGGGGGCGGCGGGGGGGCACAGCCCCCTCAGCGCGGGCAGCCGTTGGGGGCACGCCCCCCACCCCGCCACACGGGCGCTCGGCAGCCGCGCGGCCCCTCTTGTGCTGGTGGCCGGCGGGCGCCCACTTCCCCCACTGCTGCCATCCTGGCTCCAAGAATTCTCTCCAGAACAAGTCCACCTTGCAGCTGTGTGGTGGCTTCACTGTACCAGTCTTGAGGAGGACCAGTGCCCAGCATCCATCCTGGGTGAGGGAATCCATTGGTTCCGGCTGTGGAAGCCTCATGGAGCTACAGCGGCTGTGCAGCATGGCGTGGGCTCTGTAGGAGGGGGTTGGGAGCCACGAGACTCACCCATTCCTCCTTGGGAATCCTTGAATTCCTATTGTTGAGCCTCGATCCTCACTGAGGGCCATTCATCAACTGTTTAAGTGTTCAATTATCAATAAGCTGAAGTCTGTAGGAGGCCATAATGGCCCTGCTTGAAGTGGTTTGCTGCTCCTGCAGCTCACCACACTGTCTCTACCTCTGCCACCATCTTGGATCGAGACATACTTTTTATATAGTTTTCTTTAATAGTAATGGGAAAGGTGTGAATGAAGTGATAAAACATGGCTGATATGATTGATACCAATAAACTTCCATGGGAAAATAATGACTTGACAAATGGTGGGTTATATATGAATTTTTCAATAGTAATTGTAAGACTCTGGGCCACTAGCCCAAAAGGAGTTGTGCTGCCCCTCTGACTGTTCAAATCCACCAGCAACTTTGAAGGAGAAAGATGGTCAATGCCCTCTGGTGCAGTTAATTTACATAGTTGAAAACCTGGTGGAGGGTGTGCTGAGTTGGTTCTGACTTGGTGACAATGAAAGTGAGCAAGTATGACTAAAAACCAAAATATATGGAAACTACATATTGTTGTTGTTAAGTATCATGTCGGAACTGGCCCATAGCTGACCCTCCAGCTAGTTTTCAGAGGCAGTAAATAGCACAGAAGCAGATCGCCCATTTTTCTCCTGTAGAGACGCTGGTTAATTCAAACAGTGTGCCTTTGGATTGGCAGTGCAACTCCTTACCACTAAGCCACTAGTGCACCCTGGGGCCTCCAGAGTCTGATGCTAATTAGATATACCAGTCACCTGATTAAAATGAAAAGACTAAGGATTGTGTTGGGGCCATATCCTTTCTTCATATTTATTCAGTCTGTATGCTGAGCAATACATTAGGTAAGCTGAACTTTATGAAGAAGAGTGTGGCATCAGGATTGCAGGATAATGTCTCCAAATTACTAAAAAGTAATGATGTTAGTTTAAAGACTAAAATGTTCCTGATTCAAGCTATGGTATTTCCAATCACCTGTATGTGTCTGAGAGCTGGTCAGTGAATAAGAATGACAGAAGAAGGATCTATGCATTTGAGTTTTGGTGCTGGAGAGTATTGCTGACTATCCCATGGATTGCCACAGGAACAAACAGCTATGTATTGGAGAAAATGCAACCAGAGTGTTCCTTGGAGGTAAAGATAACAAAGATTCATCTCACATATTTTGGAAAACATGCTGAAGTGAAAGAGCTGAACAGAAGATTTAAAAGGGCAGCTTGAGAGGAAAAAACAAAGTATATTATAATGGAATGTGCAGACAGCTAAAACTAGAGAATAAAAAGGGAAGAACTCTGCATTTCTCAAGCATAGAGAACTGGAAAAACAAATTTAAGCCTTGAATTGCAATATTGAATGGTGCTGTGGGAAATATTAACATATACAGCCTTGAATTAATTCACCAGACTATGCTAGGAAATTTGAAGAAGGCTGTCTGGCCAACGGATTGAAGAAGTTCCATATTTGTTCCCATTCCCAAGAAAGATGATCCAACCGAATATGGAAATTATCAAACAACATCACTGATATCACATTGCTTGCAAAAACAGCTAGAACAGTACATAGATTAGTAACTTCCAAGCGAGGAAACCGGTGCAGCTAGGGACACCCTTGTGGGATCTGAGGAGCCGTCCTCAGCCCAGGCTGCGGCACGGGCGTCCATGGAGGCTCTATAGAAGCTGAAACCCATCAATCCAATCTTCTAAATGCAGTTAAATATGCTACGGACTGTGTACTGACTGTACGGGAGCCGTAAGAATGCCAGGTCCTTTGTTCAGTGTGGCCTGAGAGGGGCTCTCAAAACCACTGCCCTGTGCCAGGTGGCTGATTACAGCAGTCTGGGAGGAGATGATGTCATTCCTGCTGACCAGATGAGGAAATGGAGATCTGAGAGGCCCAGTCATTTGTATGATCCCACACACTTTCTAAAGAATTAAGTGGAAATTTGAGGCCAAGTCTCAGATTCAAATGCGGATGCTTACTGTACTTTTTTTTTTTTAAATTATTATACTGGTTTATTTACAAAGTTGGAATGGATTGCTTTTCAGACCAGATTCTTCCAATTTCCCTCACCCCACCCATCAAATTGTACAACCCCATGGTTAAATAACTACTACTTCCCCCCACACACACCCTGCACATTCTCATTCCTCTGCTTCCACCCTCCCTGCCCTTGGATCCTCTTTCTACAATAATGGTTTCTACAGTATCTCTCCTTATGTGACTGAGTTAGTTCACTCAGCATAATGCTGTCTAGTTGCTCCCAAGTTATGTGATAATTAACAAAATCATTGCTCCTGTGTGCTGCATAGTATTCTATTGAGTGAATTTACCATAATTTCTCAATTCATTCTATTGTGGTTGGACATCTGGGCTGTTTCCATGTTCTTGTAAATAGTAAATAACGCTGCTATGAACATTAGTGTATAAGTCTCCCTTGTGCCTCAGTTACCATTTTCTCAGGGTATATTCCAAGCAGTGGAATAGCTGGGTCATATGAAATTTCTATGATCAGCTTTTTGAGGAGACACCAAACTGCCTTCCAGAGTGCTTGTACCGTTTTACAATCTCACCAACAATGTATTAAGAGTTCCTATTTCACCACATCCTCTCCAGCATTTATCACTGCTGTCCTCTTAAACTTTGCCACTTTTACTGGAGTAAGATGATATTTCATTGAGGTTTCGATTTGCATCTCTTTATTGCCAGTGATTTGGAGCATTTTTTCCTGTGTTTTTTGGCTATTCAAATATTTTCCTCTGTGAAAATTCTTTCCATGTCTTTTGCCCATTTTGTAATTGGTCTGTCAGTCTTTTTCTTGTGGAGGCCCAGGAGTATTCTGTAAACTTTTGTTATGAGACTCTTGTCTGAGATAGTATTACCAAATGTTTGTTACCAGTTAGTGGCCTTTATTTTCACTCTGTTGGGAAAAGTTTTTGATGCACACAAGAATTTAATCTTTAGATTCATCAATTCATCAATTTTATCCTCTTTAGACTGTGCATTTCTGGCTGTATTTGGTAGTCTCTTTATACCACAGACTAGGGCTTCTAAGCTTGATCCCTGTTTGTCTCTTCTAAGCTTTATGGTTTTGGGCTTTACTCCCAGGTCTCTGATCCACCTTGAGTTGATCTTTGTGTGTGGGGTAAGATATGGATCCTGTTTTAGCTTTCTGCAGGTGAAAGTCCAGTTTTACCAACACCTTTTGTTAAAGAGGTTTTCATTTCTCCATTTGATAGCTTTGATTTCCTTGTTGAATATCAGTTGACCACTGATAGCTGGGTTTATTTCTGGGTTCTCAATTCTGTTCCCTTGATCTATGTGCCTGCCATTGTACCAGTACCTTCTGTTTGGTTAATACTGTTTTGGTTACTACTGCTGTGTAGTAGGGTTGGGTTTGTTTTGTTTTGTTTTGTTTCAGTGAACATCTACAGAGATTTCGGAATTCCATTCATTCATCGTTGCACTTTTCTCCCTGCCTACCCCACTGTGTAGTAGGTTTTGAGGTCAGGGAGTGCTATGTCTCCCACGCCATTTTTGTTTCTCAGAAGTGTTTTGCTTATTTGGGGCCTCTTGCCTCTCCAAATAAATGTGACAACTTCCCTTTCAATATTTTTGAAAAATGAATTTAGTATCTGTATTGGGATTGCGTTGAACAAATGTGTAGATTGTGTTTCGTAGGATTGTCATTTTCACAATATTGAGTCTTCCTATCCATGAACAGGGCACATTTTTCATTTCTTTAGGTCTTTTTATTGTGTCTTGCAGAAATGCTCTTTAGTTTTCTTTGTATAGGTCTTTTGTATCTCTAGTTAGGTTCACTCCCAAGTATCTCAATATGTGGTTGGCTATTGTAAATGGTATTGCTTTCTTGGTTTCCTTCTCTGAGTTCTTTTTGTTACTGTCGAGGAATCCTACTTATTTGATATTGATCTTAAATCCTGTCACTCTATTAAATTGTCCTATTAACTCTAACAGGTTTTTTTGTTGAGTCTTTGGGATTTTCTCTGTATACTATCATATCATCTGCATATAGCAACAGTTGAACCATCGCTTTGCCAAGCTAGGTGCCTTTTATTTCCTTCTCTTGTCATATTGCCCTAGCAAGCACATCCAATGCAATATTGAATAGAAGTGGTGACAGTGGGTTTGCAACGAAAATGCTTTCAGTCTTTCTCCTTTGAGAATGATGATGGCTCTTGGTTTTGCATATATACTTTTCCCTATGCTGAGGAAATTCCCTTCTATTTCAATTTTGCTGAGTGTCTTTGTCAGGATGGGTGTTGAATTTTGTCAAATACCTTTTCTACATCAATTGCTAAGATCATATGGTTTTTATTATTTACTTTTTTAATATAGTGAATTATGTTGATTGTTTTTCTGATGTTGAACCATCCTTGCATACCTGGTCATCATGAGTTATTTTTTTAATATGTTTGCATCTATATTCATGAGAGATATTGATCTTTAAGGTCTTTTTATGACCTCTTCACTTTCTTCTTTTTGTGATAGGTCTGTTCAAGTGTTCTATATCTGTACTTGCCAGTCTTGGTAGGGGATGCATTTCAAGGAATTTTTCCATTTTCTCTAGGTTTTTAAATTTATCAGAGTATAGCTTTTTATAGTATTCTGATATTATCAATTTAATTCATTCTCATTCTCTCTCTCTCTCTCTCTCTCTCTCTCTCTCTCTTTCTGGCTCTCTCTCTCTCATCTCTAAACCGTTTATTTCTCCTGACACGGAGGTGGACTGGGTTGGGACCTGAAGGGCAGGGCCACTACAGCCCAACACAGGCAAGTGTGGCCCTAAGGAAAAGGTGGAGTTGTTCCAGCCCACATTGGCTGCGTTCCTATCATAGTAGTTGATGTAGACCCTGTCAGGGCTGATGTGCAGCCGCTGGGAAAGCAGACCGCGCAGCAGCTTGGTGTAGATCTGGTTCTGTGTGCCGCCGATCTTGCCAATGCTGTTCAGGCTGCCGAATGCCCACGGGTTGCTTGAGTCACCGAAAGCCATGAGCTGGTCTGGGAACATGTGTACCGCGATGTACTGGGAGGGTTTGCTGCCGGTGGCCTGTGCCAGCTGCTGGCTAAGCTCAGGGAGCAGCCCGTCAGGCACGAATGCGCAAGGCACGTTAGTGTTGACCACAAACACCGGCATGAGAGCAGAGAGTAGTGAGCGTGGCGTCTGCAAACCTGGAACTCTAACTTTCTCTCTTTTGTGATCTCACCTCTATAATTTCTTAATTGAGTTATCTGTGTCTTCTCTTTTTTTCCTTTTGTTAAGTGTGTCAGTGGTTTATCAATTCTATTGACCCTTTTGAAAAACCAGCTCCTCATCTTATTGATGGTTTCAATTGTTGTTCTGTTTTCTATCTCATTGATTTCAGCTCTTGTCCTTAAAATTTTTTTTTCTTCTGGAGGCTATACATTGTTGTTCTTTTTCTATTTGCTCAAAGTGTTGAGTTAGATAATTGATTTTCTTCTTTCTTCCTTTTTTATGTGTGTGCCTATTGCTATGAACTGCCCCCTGAGGACTGCCTTAGCTGTGTCCCAGGGGTTTTGGCAAGTTGTATTTTCATTATCATTTGTTTCAAGGAACTTTTAAATATCATTCTTTATTTATTTTATAACTCAATCACATTATTTAGCTTGCACATGGGTAGTTTTATAAGCCTTACTCTCCTGTGGTTAATTTCTAGTTTTATGGCACTGTGGTCTGAGAAGATATTTTGTATTATTTCAATGATATTGAATTTGTTGAGGCTTGCTTTTTGTTCTAATATATGATTGATTCTGGAGAATGTACCATGTGCACTTGAGAAGAAAGTGAATTGAGTTTTAGTTGGGTGCAGTACCCTGAATATATCCACAAGGTCAAGTTGGCTGATTGTATAGTTTAGATATTCTGCATCTTTGTTGACTTTCTTTTGAGAAGGCCTGTCCTTTGGTGATAGTGGTGTGTTCAATATCATACCACTATTGTGGTGCTGTCTAGTTCTCTCTTGAGTTCTGTTAACCATTGTTTTTATGTATTTTTCAGGTCTATCATTTGATGCATAAATATTGACCAAGGTTATGTCTTCTTGATATAGTGTGTGCTTTTAATAAATATGTATTATCCTTCCTTACTTTTGATGGTGGTTTTCATTCTGAAATCTATTTTATCAGAGATTAGTATTGCCACTCCTTCTCTTTTGAGATTGCCATTTGCTTGGTATATTTTCCCCCCAGCCTTTGATTTTCAGTCTGTTTTTCTCTTCTTTTTTTAGTTGTGTCTCTTGTCGGCAGCATATTGATGGGCTTTGTTTTTATCCATTCTGCTAGTCTTTTCCTCTTAATTGGTTCATTTTCTCCTTTTACATTAAGCGTGATTATTGTCAGGCAAGGTTTTATCTTTGCCATTTTGCCGTGTTTCTTTTACTGTTGTTTCTGGTTACTATGGTCCATGCACTTTCCTTTGGCATCTCCGTGTGAAGAACTTCCCTTAAAATTTCTAGTAATTGCGGTCTTGTTTTCACAAATTCCTTAAGTTCCTTATTTTTGGCAAATAATCTACTTTCCCCTTCATATTTGATGGAGAGTTTTGCTGGTTATAGAATCCTTGCCTGGCAATTGACAACTTTCTGTATATAACATCCTTCTAGCTTGCATGATTTCTCCTGAGAAATCAGAATTTAATCTAATTGTTTCCCCTTTGTAGGTAACTATTTGTTATTCTCATGCTATTTTCAGAATTCTATTGTTATCTTTCATTTTGGAGAATTTAACTATGATGTGTCTTGATTATTTTCTTTTTGGGTCCAGTCTATTTAGTGTTCTCTCTGTTTCTTGAATGTGGATTTCCCTGTTGTTCAAAATACCTGGGAAGTTTTCTTCTAGTATTTCTTTTACAATCTTCTCAGTGATTTTCCTGTCTCTCACTTGTTCTGGAATTCCCATTATACATATGTTATTGCATTTGATGTCATCCCACAAAATTCTAATGTTTTCTTCATTTTCTTTAGGTCTCATATCATATTTTTCTTCTAGTATGTTTCTAGTGAGGCTCTTGTCTTCCAGCTCACTGACCCTCTGTTCCATCTTTTCAATTCTACTTATTTGTCCTACCAGCATGTTGGACACTAGGGCATTTTGGTCTTAGTATTCTGGATTGCATCTTCATGCTTTTCTTTTATTTCCAGTACTGTGTTAACTACTCTCTTTGTCTTGTGGTGATTTTTAAAGTTCTTGTACATCTTTATCTATTAATTCTTCCTTACATCTTTTGCATTTTCCTCCATAGCTGTTCAAGTTGCTCCTCATCCATATATTTCTTTTGAACTGTTGTCTCTGAGGTATTTGCTTTCTTATTGACTTCCATTGTTTTGTCCTACATTTGTATCTTTATAATTTTTTTCTGGTTCTTTCTATCTGGGGTATTCATTGGGTCTGCTTTTTTAGGACAAGGATCATTTTGTTTTTTCATGATGGCTGAGGTGGATTGTTGCTTTCTTGACATTATGTGAGTCTTTTCTTAGTAGATATTAAGCTGCTGTTACTATAAAATTACCTCAGGTATAGCAATGTTTTTGAAGCACTTAATATTTGTGCTTTCTTCTTGACAGCAGTTATTTCCCCAAAGGACCTTGATGACAAAACAGGAAGCCTATTTTTCCTTTCTGGGAGTGGCTTCTCACCTACCTTGAAGTGTCACAGTCCTCCCTATTGTTTAAGCTTAAAGGGTCCCATGTGATCAAGCTAGATGGTAGTTATTTCCCCAACGTACCTGCCTCAAAGTGTCCTGGTCCTCCCTGCTACTTGAGCTTAAGGGGTCTCACATATTCTAAAATGGTCTCTTGTATGTCAGGAATTGTGAAGATGGTGCAGGATAGAACAGGGTTCAGAACTTTTATTCATAGGATCACTATGAGTCGTGCTTTACTCGACAAGCCCTAACAACAACAACAACAACAACAAATAACATTATACTTTAATAAAGCTTAATAAAAATTTTCAATCCATATTGACATTCCAATTTTTCTGTTTTATTTTGTTTAATAAAAATATGTTCCTGGTGCAACCACTGTGGAAGGCGGTGTGGCGCTTTCTCAAAAAGTTGCAAATAGAAATACCATTTGACACAGCAATTCTACTACTAGGAATATACCCCAAAGAGACCATAACTGCCACCCAAGCAGATATATGCACACCCATGTTTATCGCGGCTTTGTTCACGATAGCAAGGAGTTGGAAACAACCTAAGTGCCCATCAACAAACGAATGGA